CGTTTTTACGCTTGACCTCCTCCCGCTGTTCCTTGCTCATGCCGTAGTAGCGCTGCATGCCCTCTTGGGATTTTTTAGCTTTGAAGGCATCGTACTCACCACTGACTTTCAACCGAGCCATGCGTTCATGATACCGGCGACGGTGAAGGGCCTTGACATCCTCTATGCCGTTGGGTTTGGCATATAGACGTTGCCGATACGCTTTTTGTTGCGCTTTGTTTTTCACAGGGTCCCGTTTTTTCCTGGGTTTGGGGGGCTGGCGCGATCCTGGCGTATCCATGTTCCAACTCTAGTAAACGGGCACTGCACTCATCGGCCAAGGCTTGCAATTTTCTAAACGGATGGGGTGTCTCTCGAGCTCGGGCACGACGGTCCCGTTGCTGTTGGACGATCTTATCGCGGTGTCGATGGTAGTACTTGCGGTTGAGTGCCCGTACTTGATCTCCGTGTGTGGCTCGGTATCGGTTACAGGCCAACCGATTCAATTCACGAGCTCTGGCCAACTGTTCCTGGGTCGGAGGTGGTTTGGGTGGCTTGGGCGGTTTGAGTTTTTTCTGAGCCACCCGCTTCTCCCGTTTCTGTGCCACAATCCTCTCTCTATGCTTGAGGTACCACCGCTTCTTAGCTTCTTTCACTTTCTCTGGATCTTTCGGCATGTCTCGAACGCAACTGACGTCTGGTCTGAACGTTGGCTTATATCTAGCCCTCTTTCCGCCAATCACTGCTCTCGGTCCAGGCTCAGAGGAGATTGGAAAAATCTGTACCCATGGGGGGCACCCCCCTCAATCCTCCTCCTGTCTAATCAACCCCTCACCTGACCCTCACCTGACTCTCACCTGAGCCCCATCCACCAATCCCTGTTCATCTGATCACGTGTTTTTTAGGTCTATAAAAGTCCGCGTCTGGCGCGGGAACATTCAAATTGCCTCCTCCGTCATGGCGGAGGACCACTGGTATCCTGACAGTGATGAAGAAGAAGAAGAAGCTCTATTAAACCGCGCTTATGACCGGTGGGAACAATTGGGCGGAGCCGTTCCCGCTCGAGGCCCTCTCTTTCAGTTTACCATGCAACCTATAGGTCGACGACGCCGCTGGCGTAATGTAGTGGAACGCGCACAATTCAATGCGCAATTGCGTCAATTGAGGGATCCTGGTCCTGGAGATAATATTGGGATGGCCCTCACGGAAGCCTTGCATCAAGCCATTGAAACAGAACTTGACCGCGAGCAGCGACCTGCCCATCATTTTGTGAACTTTGCTATTACAGCGCATGGGTTCACTCACGCGTATCAAACCGCTAATTTTACTGTGGGAGAATTTTTACAACGTACGGCTCGTTTGGATGAGATGTTAGCTACCCTAGCTGGCAAGTTGAACAGCAATGAAGCCTTCAACCCCGATCGTGGGTTCCAAGTGGATGTGGTGTTTGTCTCCATGCCCGGCCCAGGGTCTGGTCGACATAAACAACGCAATGTGGGACGTTTATGTTTGGATCGAGTCAACCAGAAAAAGAGATGCATTGTCCCCATCAAAAATAGAGATACCCTATGCTGTGCTCGTGCTATTGTCACCATGCGTGCTTATTGCCATAAAGATCAAGGCGTGGACGGGTTTCGCGACTGGGAGAACCTCAAACGTGGTCGTCCTGTGCAGCAACGTCAAGCCCAGGCCCTCCATCAGCAAGCGGGTGTCGCGGAGGGTCCCTGTGGCATCCCCGAGCTTCGTCAGTTTCAACAAGCCTTGGGGTCTCACTATCAACTCTTGGTGATGACCCGGATGAAACCGTTCTTTTTGATTTTCAAAGGCCCTGACGCCCCTCATCAGATTCGTTTACTCAAATCCAACGATCATTTTGATGGCTGCACGTCTTTTCCTGCCTTTGTCAATCGTTCGTATTATTGCCTGGACTGTGAACGGGGGTTCAACACCGACGATCGGACCAATCATACTTGTCAAGGGAGACGTTGCTCTGCGTGTGGACGTTTTGATTGTCCGGATTATGTGCGTGGCACCCGCCCCACTGAGTATTGCTGTCTGTGTTACCGCAAGTTTTATGGCCATCAATGTAAACGTTATCATGAAATCAGCAAGCAATGTCAATCCATCAAAATCTGTCTCAAGTGTCAAGCCCAATACACAGTCGTCCGTAACCAACGTCACCGGTGCGGGTACGCCAAATGCCCAGCGTGTCAGGAATGGGTGTCCATCCAGAACCATAAATGTTACATTCAGCCTGTGGAGGATGAGCATGAGGAGACTGAACCGACAGAGGAGGGGGGAGGTCGCATGGTGGCGCCACCCCCTCCCCTGTTTGTTTACGCAGATTTTGAAGCCATGCAGAATGCAGAAGGCGTGTTTGTGGCTAATTTGTTATGTTATTCGTCGAGTGTCGACACCACCATTCATGTCTTGGACGGGGAGGACTGTGCCCTCCAATTTTTGCGCGATTTGGATGATCTCACGGATGTTCCAGATTGTGAGGGCGAGCGGACGATACTCGTGGTGTTTCACAATCTAAAAGGGTTTGATGGTATGTTCATTCTCCATGAACTCTACCAGCAACAACGCGAGGTCGTGGATCAACTGACCGTGGGCGCCAAAGTCTTATCGTTCAGAAGTGGACCCCTCAAATTCATCGACTCGTTGTGTTTCTTGCCTATGCCGCTGGCTTCCTTTTCCAGTACCTTCAATTTGACCGAATTAAAGAAGGGGTTCTTTCCCCATTTGTTCAACACCCCCGATCACCAACAGTATGTGGGCCGCATCCCTGATTTGGAATTTTACGACCCCGACGGCATGATGGCCAAAAAGAAAGAGGAACTGACTCGTTGGCATGCGGATCAAGTCCGTCGGAACGTGCCCTTCCATTTCCAACAAGAAATGATTGAGTATTGCAAATCCGATGTGGCTCTATTGAAAGCTGGGTGTGAAGCCTTTCAACAAGAATTTGAACAACAGGCGGGCTTCAATCCTATGGCCAAGTGCATCACCATCGCCAGTGCCTGCAATTTGTATTGGCGCAAGCATCATTTGACCCCCGACACCATTGCAGTGGAACCTCTCGGAGGGTGGCGAGGGGCCCAAGTCAATCATTCCCTCAAAGCCCTCCAATGGCTCTATTACCAAGAACATCTCCTTCCCAAAGAGGGGGCTAGTGCTGATCGCATACGTCACGTTCGTAATGGCGGCGAACAGTCGGTCCGAACCAGCGTCGACAGTCATTTCGTCGATGGCTACGATCCTGTGACTCGCACCGTCTATGAGTTCCACGGATGTCTCTACCATGGCTGTCCCCGCTGTTATCCCGCGAGAAACGCCAAACATTATGCCACACCGGATCGAACCGTGGAGGAACTCTATCAAGCCACGCTCTCCAAACGCACGGCCCTACTCCGAGCAGGCTATACCGTCATCGAAATATGGGAATGTGAATGGGACCGACTAGTGGACACGGATGAAGCTGTTCAACGTTTCTTGAATTCCTTCGATTTGGTGGCACCCCTGGAACCCCGTGAAGCCTTCTTTGGAGGTCGAACCGGTGCCGTGGCTCTGCATGCCGTAGCTGGAGAGGGGGAGGAAATACGCTATGTGGATGTGACCTCCCTGTACCCGTGGGTGAATAAAAACTGTCCCTATCCCATCGGGCATCCGCGGATCATCACGCAGCCTGTCGACCAGTCCCTGGACTCCTATTTCGGTCTAGCCACCGTCGATATTCTTCCCCCTGCTGGTTTGTTCCATCCCGTTCTGCCTGTGCGTAGTGGCCACAAGCTCACCTTTCCTCTCTGCCGTGCCTGTGTTCAGACCGAGCAGGCCCAACCCATGTTGACCCGAACCCGTTATTGCCCTCATTCCGATGTGGATCGCACGCTACGTGGGACCTGGTGCACACCCGAATTGGTCAAAGCGGTCGAAAAGGGGTACACGCTGATCAAGATTCACGAAGTCTGGCATTTTCCTCCCGAGCAACGCCAATCGGGTCTTTTTGCCGATTACGTGAACACCTGGCTCAAGATCAAACAAGAATCGGCAGGGTGGCCCGGCTGGTGTCAGACCCTCGAGCAAAAACACAACTACATTCTTCGTTACCAGGAACGGGAAGGCATCCGACTGGACATTGCCAGCATTGCCAAAAATCCCGGTCGCAAAGCCACGGCCAAGCTCATGCTGAACAGTTTCTGGGGCAAATTTGGGGAGCGGATCAATAAACCCACCACTGTCACCGTCCAAGACCCCGCCCAATTGTTCAATCTCATCTCGGATGCTGCCCTCGACCTTAGTACGCTCCGCCTTTGCACAGACGATATCTTGGAAGCCGTTTACACCAGTGTCCAAGACAATGCTGTCAAAGGCACCAAGACCAATATTTTTGTGGCCGCTTTCACTACATGCCATGCTCGACTCAAGCTCTACGAGTCTCTGGATACCCTGCAACAGCAAGTCCTTTACTACGACACTGATAGTGTGGTATACAAATGGCGGCCCGGTCAACCCAGCATTGCCACTGGCGATTTTTTGGGGGACATGACCGACGAATTGGACGGTGACGTCATCACCGAGTTTGTTTCGGGGGGTGCTAAGAATTATGGGTACCAGACCCGTGGAGGCAAAGTGGTATGCAAGGTCCGCGGTTTCACGCTCAACGTCCGTGGATCCGCTATTCTCAATTTTCAGACCATGAAAGACAACATTCTCTTTGAATTGGATTCGCCCCAGGAGTCTCGACGCAATTTGAACCTGACCAACCCTTATTATTTCAAACGAGATTTGGAACAAAAACAAATTCAAGTGGTTCCGCGCGTGAAGCAGTATGGGTTGGTGTTCGACAAGCGCGTTATTGAGGTCGCCACCCGATCCAGTTATCCCTATGGCTACCAGAGGATTGGGAACGAACTCGATTTGCTATTAGATTTGTAATGGGCGTGACGTCAGTAGGGCGTCACACACGTCCCACTTGTACCCAGGGTTTTACGCGGTCATTAAAACTATGTCAAGAATGTAGATTCAACTCTTGTGTGTGCGTGTTCTTTATTCCTATGGGGTCACGTGGTTTAAAACAATGGGTTGTGACGTCAATAAGTCACATGGGCGAAATGCGCGATGCTGATTGGTCGAGACCAAATTTGCTGCGCTCTGATTGGTTAGGACCCCAAGTAGCCATATGTACTACTGTCATCTTGCTTATAAACCGCAGGCTTGTTTAACCGTAGCTACAACTGCTATTATCAGTGCCAACCAGCTTTAAAATTTTGAGCTAAGAAAGAAGAAAACTTCGTTTTATGTTAAAGATATTCTAAGACAAGGTTTCCTGCAACTATCTAATGACACGAAAATGGTTCGAAGCAAAACCTAAAGCGAAACACCAAATACGTTTCGACCACTGTGAACAACACGGTCTACATACGCCCCAGTCTTAAATTTTGGCACTTTTCGACCAGACGACCTCGTCTTTGTGCGCGTAGCTTGCGGTTTAGTTGGCTGGGGACCGTGTCGAAGGAAACTCCATTCGCTGTGAAGCTTCAGGCTTGAGAAGGGCGTAACCTTCTCCTTCTCCTTCGTTGCCGTACTCCCAACTGAGGATTATTTTGAATAGATTATAAAAAAAACTATTTGATTCGGCTTTCGTATGACGGGAAGAATTATGGAAAGACTGGACACGCGATGAAACTGAACTTCTTTGTTGTTTGTAAGGGCCAAGCGTACGCCCGCTTGGGTGACTGGAACAAGTCGAATGAAGAGTTTTGTGAGCTTACGGAAAAATGGCTGTAGTGTTTTGTTGCGTGAAGCGGGCTTCGAATAGAACTTCTCGCGCCTGAGATTGAATACCCAGAGACCTCGTACAGTGTTATCCACCGTCGAGGCCGATCGACTTCCATAATTCTTTAGATCATACTCAGCCTCATACAATAATTTCTAAATGTTTCCAAGTCATCTACACATAGATGACTTGGAAAAACAGACACAAAAAACGTTGATGACTTTAGAAAGCGTGATAGATGCACAGTAAGAAAGCACCTGCAAAGCAAAGTCTGCCGTCTACTCTTAAATCAGTAGTTTTATCAAACTACAATATATAGTCGCTGCATGTTCGAATAACGTCTACTATTCTGATAAAGACTCCACTTTGGAGAGAGTACTGTAAGGCGACTCGGAAGAAACGGTCAGAGGTTCAACTCCTCTTGGGAGTACTTGGATAGCTGCCTGTGTAACCTACTGAATAATCATCTTTCTCATGTATTCATCAGGCTTAAAATCATATTTCTATCATTGCACAATCAAGGCGTGTCCTCTATTGTGGTTTGGCCCGTATATTTCAGACAAAAGTTCGTCAATTTCACTAGAAGACCTGCAAATATACAAGAAACAGGATATTCATTACTAGGGGAATAATTTACGCCATCAAGTGTGTTATTTAGTCTTAGAAAGTGCGCGTACGGTATTTTCGCGCAAATTGTTGAACTATAACTAGTATTATTTCTGATACAAAAACGTAAATACCGTACCATGCTGCTACTACGTCTCTCTAAAAGTCGATGCGAAATGCTCATTGGGGAGATGACATTAGTAATGACGTCATTACCCGTGGCACGTCTTTTTCAATGTTTGTTTACCTTCGCCCTTGTTTCCGCTTCGCGCTGCTTGGCGGAAAACCGGACAGCTCAGTCTACGGGGGTTCACAGGGGAATTGGAGGTGGAATTCAAATTCTATAGACGTAATTTTAAGCTCTCCTTCCTTTTCCCTCCCCGCCGCCAGGGCGCCCCGAAGAGATTGCTCGCAGGCTAGCTTTTGGATAAATCTCATTTTCTGCAGATTTTTAAAAATGTAGAATTGATACTATAGCCGTGACATTTTGGGCCTGGGGCGAGCGACATATTTTGAGGCAGTGTTCTCCCAAATATGCCTAGCACGCATGTCAGAGTTCCACGTCGTATGGGTCTTATTTGTGAGCTTAAGAAACGACGACGACGACGACGACGACGGGGACGAAAACGTCTCTTAAAAAGTGAATCCACGCTGTTTCAATATTGATCGCTCCTATTCCATGTCGTTCAATGTAGGTGAATTTCTCTGGAGTGTTCACGTCGTGGTCGTGCAACAAATACAACAGCTAAGAAATGTGCAAAAAAGTGTGATGCACGTGCAAAACTATTGTTTTGCCAATCCAAACTTATTGCTTTTTGCCGTTCTCGTTGCTTAGTCTCCGTTGAACGGCCCTCTCCCCGTCTAAATAAAATGTCTCACTCGGAAAGTTTGTCAAGTGTCGATTATGACGACTCTGAATGGAATTTCACTTTATTCCTGGGTTTATACCAAATATGCAGCAAAACGTCCACGAAGAAGTCAAATATTATGACCCAACTACGCGTGAGAGCGAAGAGGCTGATGATGAAGATGTTGTAATTCCTTACGCAGACGAGTCTTTGGCGAGTCAACAGTTTATCTAAGAGTACAATAGGAAGAGACCGATGGAAAAGGAGGTAAGGCAGAAGCTACAACAAAGCTGGACGGAGCGAAGAACAAAGCCTAAAATTACGTCGTCGTTTCACTCGACTTAGGGAACTATCTACACGGCCTTCTGACCAAAAGCTGCTTGAAATGGACAAATTTGGCGCACTTTAACCGAACGTGCAACCGAACCGAACTTACTTTGTGGGGAAAAGAAAGGTTAAGACCCCCTGCAGTTCTTCTTCTTGAAGTTTGTCTTGCTGGATTAAAATCGAAATCAATTTCATGTTCTAAAGGAAAAAAAAGAGGAAAAATGTCATATTTTACTTTTTCTTCTACCGAGACAGGTAGAAGAGAAGAGCGACGCTAGACTATTATTGACAAAATTCCAAACCAAGCCACACCAACGGCTTTGTCCACAGGGGTCCTCTTTAATATCTGTACACGTATACTAACTACCTCATATGATTACCAACAAATACGCACCACAACAGTCCGTGTGAAGAGTAATGTCTAACAGCTAAAAAGGTGAAGGTAATGTTTAACTGAAGACAACTATTGAATGTTTCTCCAAAGGTGGACCGAACATTATTTTTTCGCTTTTTTAATATGCAACTAGTGTGACAGTCAAAGAGCAGTTTTGAAGCGTCAATGTCATCTATTTTTCTACCTTCGAAAATCCAAAGGATTCTTCCTTATCAAGTGCAATAAAAAATAATGTTGACAGTTTAGAAATATCTAAGGAAGAAATGGATACTATTTAGATGTTCGAAAATTTGGATGGACTGCTTGCCTCGTTCCTCAGTTTATTGTTGTTAACCGTCTGGAAGCAATTCATAAGTACTGAAAGGCAATGAAATACAGTGTGGAAAATAAAAAAAAATCCCATGAAACGGCCAATTAAAACGATATAACTGTACCTGGGACTCTATTGCTTGCATTCTTCGAACGTCAGACGCCATCTTCAGGTCGTTAATTGATTGGTCAATTTCCTTCTGCATCCGGTTTCTAAGATCATTTAATTCGTTTTGGTGTCTAGCTTTTACAGCTGCCTTTCTCAACTTCATAGCCGTGTTACTCGGTTCCATGCTGCTAAGGTATCTCGATATCTCATCCTAAGCAAACAAATCAAGCAAATTCACACACATTAACGTTATTAATTTCCTTTGTGGCTTTTTGGAAAACCCCCAATAAAAAGCGGTTCTTCAAGTAAAATATTATGTTGTTGTTTTTTTTTTAACCCTTGAAGCTCTTAAGTACTAGGTGAAAGTGCTTCTGCCTTCCAGGTATAGAGAAGAAAACAGGAGCCATAATGGGGGTAGGAGACTGCAAGCGCAGGGTCCACGCGGTTCCATCGAAATAACCAAATGTGCTGTACGCCACTTCCACATTTCCCATAACTCACCTTATTTTTAAAAAAAAAAAAAAAAAAATGCATAAGAATTGTTTTCAATTTCCCTTGGGACGACTGTAATACCCAGGGGGAATGAAAGACAAGGGTTATGCATTTTGTTTTGGGGGGGGGAGGAGGGGGGGGGGGGGGGGGGGGGGGGGGGGGCGGGTAGGGCAAATAAGGTGCCTTATGGGAAATGTAGAAGTGGCGTATTTTCAGAACAAACTACGCCACCCTCGACGTCAAAACCTCGCGTGAGAACCGGCAAATTTGCGCGGCTCTCGTTTGGAATTCCAGCGTTTGAGTGATCTCTTAAATTTCCAAGTGCTTAATATCTCGATATACAATGCACGCACAGTGGAAGAATGAGCCAATGTTATATAAACATTAGAACAGAAATACGTTTTTCGCAAAAACCTCGAGGAGCTGTATTGGAACAGCAGTAGGAGTAAAGAGAAACAAGCCAAAGGGGAAAACTATGATTAAAAAACAAACCAGAACAAAGCAAAATCAAAAAAAAATATATGCAACAGAGAAAATAAACAGCTAAGCCGACAGTCGAACCTGGACCATCTTCACGAAAGGTCGGCTCCTAGACCACAGTTGCCCGCTGCCGAAGATAACGTTAATTGGAAAATTTAGTACATTTCAAGTATTTTCCTGTGAAATTCTGCGGGTAGACGCTGTTTGAAATCCGGTGGAGCCGTATAAATCATGAATTCCTATATTTATTAGAGGAAAATTAGACATAATTATTAGTCGTTGTCGTTCATTTTCCGCCATGCTTTTGCTCGCAAGTTTTCTTTCTCATTTCGTCCGTACGGGACATTCATCGCACGACACTTCCGGATTTGTCATTCACAGTCCTAATATTCAGAGTTCATGTCAAAATGGTTATCCTAATGGTCTGGCCTCAAATCCACAGGAGGCAATGACGACAAATTCAATTTATTTATCTCGTACGAAGGTAATTTCTGACACCATTTTGTTTGTGTATTAACTGCGCGGCGTCCTCGCAAAAATTGGGCACGCGTGTCGCACGAGATGGCGTAATTTGGGCTAAAAATAGCACATTTGGCTATTTCGATGGAACCAACCCCAATACTGGAGAGGGTATCCAGTTATCGTCTCCTACCCCGATTATGGCTCCTGGAAGAAAACCGGAGTAACCGAAGACAAGCCTCTGGGAGAAGACAGCAATTAGTACTGTAGTTAGTTTTTTGTAGTCGTCAACTTACCAAAGAAGAGCCAATATTGTTTGGATTTGCTTATAAACCATTATCATCATCATTATCATCATTGTCATTCTCACTATCATTATCATTATCGTTATCATTATCATTTTATAATCATTATCGTTATCCCATCACTATCATTTTAATATTATCATGTAAGGAATTGTCACAGCGAACTGGATGTGCCGAATTCGATTCTCGAAAGAGATCCTTCTTCTTCTTCTTTTTTTCTTTTTTTTTCTCTTCTCTTCTTCTTCTTGTTGTTATTGTAGTTTTGTTTTGTTTGGTTAAGAGCAACGGCCAGGAAATATCGACCATCGAGTGGCAAGAGTTGAAAAATCGCTTTCCTTCATTTTTTGTCCATAAATAGCTTTTAGGTAGATAAGTAATCTGATGTAAGTTGTTCTCGCAAAAAGCCTTTTATTTTCGAGAAAAGCAAGAATATCAGTTTTCGTGGTCGGAGTCTCAAAATGGCCGTATTTTCACCCGAAATTGCTAACATCGACTCTCCTCGCGTTCGCAAATAAAGCCGCAAGGAGAAATTTGGACACTTTCCCTCTATAGAACAACTCTTCTTCTTTCACTAGAAGATACTTTCAAAGCAATATCAAGACTCTTTGAACTAACATAATTCAGAAACGAAGAACAGGTTTTTACGGTGACAAAAACTTTAATTTAGTAGTTGTTTTCTCCGGCATTTCTCTTCATGTGGTATAGCTCCAAATTTTCCCGGTCCTCGTTTATTCACACATTTTGACATTCATCTAAAGCAATACCTGACAATTGACTTGGGTTCCTTTAGGCAGCCTCCAAACGAAAGCATCGAAGTCCGGTAAAAATATTGAAGCGTGACCAAAATAACTTATTTCACGGCTCCAAGTTTCCTGGATCGTAAAGTAACAAGACGAAATATCTTCCTGTTCCGTCATCCTTAGGGAATTACCATTGTTAAAGTCCATATTTTTCGATAAAAAGTGAGTACCAGAAAAAGCGCGTTTGACTTTTTCTTCTTCAAAATACTATCGAGATCGAAAATGTTACTCTTTCAAGACTTGCGTTGCGTTACTACCATGATTCCGTGACTGTCATTTTAACGGCTCCGTCTCTTCAAACATACATTATGTCACGCGCAGTCACGGAACAGATTGTCACGCAGAGTCGCCGTCTGATAGGGTTCAGTGTTTCAAAATGGCTAAAATTCACCCAGTTTCACCTTTTTACCCCCACTCTTTGATTGGAAAAAGAAATTTTGCAATGCGAAAACCTACAAGAAGTACAAAAAAACGAGCCTTTAGGCTGTAAATGTCTACTTTTGTGCGTTTCGAAATTGGAAGTGTTTACGCAATTACTGCCGGCCTACCATAAAAATTCCTGAACTTCGATGGTGTCTTACGGAGATTACATTCAATAACCCAAGCCAATTCCCAGGTATGTTTTAAATGAATGTCTAAATGTGTGATTTAAATAGCATTAAGAGAATTTGGAGTTATACCACATGTTAAATATTGCCGTTCGAAAATGAGTAACGAAATAAAGTTTTTGAAAATGAAGAAATGATCGTCGCAGTGAACGCAATTTATGCAATTGCGTAAAGAAGCCTGAAAAAAATTCAGGACTTCAACGGGGTTTGAACCCGTGACCTCGCGATACCGGTGCGATGCTCTACCAACTGAGCTATGAAGCCACTGACATTGGGAGCAGGTCAATTGTGGGTTCATATGTTCCCGTGAAAGAAATGAGTGTTAATGGTATATGAAATAAATCATATATGAACTGCGGAAATGAAATGAAAATGAAGAAATGATCGTCGCAGTGAACGCAATTTATGCAATTGCGTAAAGAAGCCTGAAAACGGGTCACGGGTTCAAACCCCGTTGAATTCCTGAATTTTTTTTTCAGGCTTCTTTACGCAATTGACGATAATTTCTTCATTTTCATTTCATTTCCGCAGTTCATATATGATTTACTTCATATATCATGAACTTAAGTTTTTGTTATCCTGAAAACCTATCCCTCATTTTTGAATTATTTCAGTATGACGAGCTTCGCTATTGCCCTGAAAGTATCTTTTAGTGGAAGAAAAAGAATTTTTCTGTTCATGGAAAGGGTCCAAATTTCTCCATGCGGCTTCGTTTGCGAACGCGAGGAAAGTTTATGTTAGCGAATTTCAGGTTAAAAACTAGGGCAGTCTGAGACTCCGACATCGAAAACCGATCTTCTAATTTTTCTCACAAATAAAAAGCTTTCGGCAGGAACAATCTGCTTTAGGTTTCTTATCTACCTAAAAGCTATCTATGAACAAAAAATGAAAGAAACTGATTTTTCAACTCTTGCCACGAAATTAAGATTTTGGTCGATTTTTCCTGACCGTCGCTCTTAATTTGGGTTTTTTTCCGTAAAGGCGTCTTCCCTTTCCTCGCGAGGTTCTGCGATTCAAGTATTTCCTGTATCACCATCATCATTATCATTGCTACTAACAACGACGAGAACTAACGAAAAAAAATCACTCAACTCACATGTGGCGCCGCCTCTTTGAGCTGAACCCGGGCCAAATTGATGGGAGTCGAGTACTTCCCGATATTTCTTAAAATAGGATTACTATTATCTTTATTATTATTATTACTATTTTTTTCACCTTTTGCTGCAAAATAAGTGTTTCCTCTCGCTGCCTCATCCTTTCTTGAAGGCGATCTCTCAAAGCCTGAAGAGGAAGTGGTGAGATTTTCAAAAGAAAGGTCAAGGTTTTAAAACAGTATTCATTTTGTTAATATTTTATCACAATAGCAGGCTCCCTAAGTACACTACCTATAATGATTGTCACTAGCTAGGGCCGAGGTGGTTTGCGGTACTTAAGGTGATTCTTACGCACAAAATGAACCAGAAAGTTTCCCAGGGATAAAGATAAACTAGCAATTAAAAAATGGGACCAACGTTTTTAGATTTTAACCCCAACAAAATTCAACTATTGACCTTTTCTAGCTTTACCCATCTCTAGCGCACTTATTTGTTCTGTATTTATAAGAATTACCCATTGACTAACTGCTTACCTTTTCCTGTTTATCTTTTTGTAATTGCAAGTTTTCTTCAAGGGCTTTGGTATCCTGTAAAATGAAAAGTGTATGATCACAGAATGAAACCTCATGAGCAGTTTAAGACCACAAGAAAGTTGTTCAAATTCCATGAAAAAGAAAGTTATCGATTCCCTCAAAAGTGATCTTGATGTATCCTACGTTTCGACGCATCCACTCACCAAGGCGGCACAAGGATATTAGAGGCAGACCCTAACCCCACTCAACTCGACTCCAGTAGCGCATAAAACGGTTTAAGAACACTGCACCGCATTTATAGAGTCCACTTTTTGGGACAAAAAATAAGAAATCCCTTTTCCAAAATAAAACTCCGGACTTAAGCTTAAAATATATATTGATCTGAGTGCATGACCAGCAGGGTCAGCACTAAGAACAAAGAAAAAAAAGGCCAAAAGGAAAAAGAGTGCTAAAAAAGAGACTAAACAGGGAAAAAAACGGTACAAAGAAACAGAAAACAGCGTTGGAGGGAGTCGAACCCGGTTTATCTGCACGTTCAAGCAACTCCTTGACCACTGCACCACAGTGACACACGATTTGAAAAATTAATTTTGTCATGTCAAAACAATTTTTCTCTGCCATTGACGCTGTTTGAAGCTGTTGGAGCTGTATATATCATGAATTCAAATATACATTGAGGAAAATTAGCTTAAGCGCGTATTTCAAAGCTATTTCGCATTATTTCGGGTTCAACGGGCCGACTCGATGTAGATAATCGATCGAACTAGCTTTACTGAATTTGAAGGAGAATTAGGAGATCAACAGAGGTCCACACTCGAAAGGAAGGGTATGAAGTTAGGCCCGTTTAATAAGCAAAAGAATAGATGAAATATAAACATGTGTGATCTGTGAATGGAACCTCCTGTTCTGGAGAGTGGACCTTGCCTATTTTAGGGAAAAAAAGATGTCAGTTTTGATGACCTTGCCGGTCCCGTGAAATAGATGGCGATCCCGCAACACGGCCCGCAAAACAAATTTAAAAAATTATACAATCACGGGCACTAAATATCAAAACGGTTTACACAAGCAGATTATGGCAACACCAAAGCTAACACACATTCGATCAAATAAGCGATATATAGCGATATTTGCTCTAAGCTTCCTAGCTTTTTCTCGACCTCGACCTAACAAGTGGCGTCAGTTCCCCAGATTCCCGAACCATCTGACATGCGACATTTCGGTATTCAACGTACACCACACAGACTTTAAACATTATAAAACGGCCATAACACGCAGAAAGGATAATCTTTTTATTTGCAAGTATTGTTACCTTTTGATATTTGTCCATGATCTTTTGCGTCTCAGGGTTCTGAAATGTTCCTTTGGCCTCTAGCTCATCAATAAGACCTGCTTGTAGCTGGCCAAGCGCTTCTTGCTGCATAGCAATCTTGGACATCTGTTTATTCAGCGATTACAATTCAGAGTAAAATCACATTTAGAAAGTGGAGTGAGACGAACGGGATTATGGAAAATTGATTTACAGTTTCAACAAGCAAGGAATATACTATACCATTTTGTTAGTGTTTTGTTTTTCTGGAATCTCGCACTTCAGTGGGAGTGAAGTGGGAGACAGGAAGAATCAATGAAGTTCCCAAACAATTTGTCTTAACCGTGGAGATGCTATTTCAATGCAATATGATTACAAAGTACAATTGATGACTAAAACAGTCACGTAATGTATTGTTGGTTTTCACATGACGTCACTAAAATTCAAACTAAAAAACTATCGATCCTGCCGAGATTTTTCCTTCACGACGCATTAGAGCAGCTGAAAACTAATTTTCACACAAAGTTTCGCCTCAAAAGAGTTCTTGGTTTTGTGATAGAGTACGCTTGAATTTCTAAGCTTTCGCGTGACGCGGCATTTACATGACGGTCAAGAGAGGTGTTATGTAGGTTAAAAAAATGACTTTTTTGAGGAAATGTTGCTATCTAAACAGTCCACGTATTAGAAAAAGTGTTACTTTAATGTTTATGAGTTTCTCGAAGAAAAAAATCACGCTTTTGTAGCAAAACTCGGTAACAGATGTTTCTGTTGGTTTCCGTCCGCCATGTTGGAGCTCATCCAGGTGAGCACCAGCATGGCGTCTCCATACAAATCTCTATAAGTTTGGGTAAAACCTTACTTCGGATATCTCGTAAACGAAATATTCCTCTGAACTGAATCTTGGCGAGGGTCTTTGTATATGTACCTCCTTTCATTTCCCAGATTCTGGACTTCATCTATTGAACGGTTTTGATTTTTATTTTCATCTATTTTGAATGGCGTGACACTGAAAACCAGCAATACATCAATCTGATATAAAACCCACTACGGATCAGGTACCTAGTCAAATATGGAATGCACTTCTCCACGTGACAAGTAATCACACGGTTTAATGAACAAAAGCAAATTACTAGTCTTCTCGCGAAAGGTTATTTTCAGCATAATGTTGTAGCCACGTTGGTAGTTTAGATGAACACAAAGAATGAGACACGAGAAAAGCTGCATAGGTTTTCTTTCCCGCACAGGATTAGCTGAGTCGATAGAGCGCTTGACTTCAGAGCGGGAGGTGGTGGGTTCAGTTCCCAGGGCTGAACCAAATAGTGTCCTCAATAAGTACGTTCGTGCCAAATACATTGACACTCCAGTAAAGTGCTTCTTTATGTACAATAATAATTTTGTTACCTCTAACGAGCAAATTCGGGTATGCATATGATCAAATGCGCGTATAAACACCACCACCTACGGTATTTCAAAGTTTCTCTTATGAACTTAAGAGCTTAGGAGCTATTTTGTAGAAATCAATCAATCTCACACATCCTCGGAGACCCAGGGGCAGATAGTGGGGGCGAGAGAAAGTCTAAACGGGCGGGAAAATATGGCACGAAGAAAAGTAAAGAACGGCGAGAAGAGCCCCTGGGGACAATGTCTTACCAGACCAGTTTCAAACGGTCGCCGCCGTTCTGCCTTCTGATTGGGCAGAAAAACACAAAAGTTTTCTGGCACCAATCAGAAGCCAGAACGACGGCGACAGTTTGGAACTGGTCTGGTAAGACATTGTCCCCAGGGGCTCTTCTCGCCGTTCTTTTCTTTTCTTCGTGCCATATTTTCAAGCGCTTAGCACTGAAAAGTATAGGCGCTATATAAATATATTTTTTTAATATTTTTTTTTATATTTTCCCGCCCGTTTAGACTTTCCCTCGCCCCCACTATCTGCCCCTAGGTCTCCGAGGATGAATCTCACACGGGGGATCCGGTGAACATGGTGGCCTCCAATGGCCTGCACGTCCTAAGTTAGTTAATAAAAGAGGAATCCACAATAAATCCGCAATTTTGATTGAGGTAGAATAAATAAACAACGCCAAGTTTACCTGCTTCGCCTTCTCGATTTGAAGTTGAGCTATTATTGCACCCAGCTTTTCATGGTGTTCCTGAAGTTTTTTTGATCTCTCTGCGAGCATTTCTTCGCGAACCTACAAATAACGCACAGGGAGGAAAACATTTATAATTTTCCAAATAGAATTCATGTTGTCATTGCAACTTCAATTCGGTGCGTACATGCTCTTTTTCTGCGATCCGAATTTCCCGCATTTCTTTGACCTTGTGCAGATACCCTGCTTGTCACATTTTACCACCTTGAATCCAACTTTCTGGAGGTTTTGAGCTAAGACTTCAAAACTTCACCCTTGCAGTCCTTCCTTTTAGAAGGATTAAAAAGATAAATTTAACTTCGAAGCTGCAATTACAAACCCTGCATTGATACTTCGGATTCACTGAGATTTCTCCATCCCCGCCGTCCAAGCGTTGCTTCCGAAATACAAAGAGAATTTATTCGTCCCCGAAAGTTCACTTCCGCTCCACGGAAGGCCAAACGTTTTATTGGTCAATTTATGACAGCTGATGACAGCATCAATGTCCGTGTGCGCACTCAGGCATGACAGCCCAAGTGGGCGGTTTTCAAAATCCTGTTGTTTTTCTGCAAGAGTTTCCTTACCTTTCTTCCCCACCCCTCCCCGCTCTTTTACTCGCACCATTTTTGGCACGGTCTTTGACTCTCGTTCCTCGTTCTTTGCTAGAAAACCGCACGGAAACGCTTGCTACACAGGCTGTAAGAAATGGTACGTATTTCAGTGAACGTCATCCTTTAATCAAAGTTCTAATTCATACCAGCTGTCGCAGGTTTTCATTTTGTTTTTAAATCTCTGGAATGATAGGAGGTACATAGGCGCATTGTTACTGAGCATGTCCAAAAATAAACCATTCAACATGCAAACTCGTTCATCAAAATCCTCAAAGATATTGGCCACACGAAAAGAGACGCGCGACAAGTCACCATGGAGTGCCTCTGGGTGGTAGTTTTTGTAATTCCTGGTGATGACATAGAGGGGTCGGGGTTTTGAAGAATCGAGTTTTTAAGTAACCGAAAAAAGGCTATTTTACTGTTTACTGTCGAGGATGTCACAAAACACTCACCAACTACATTTCGATTGAAGACTTAGACACCTAAGTTTGAGTCGCGAAGTCGATATCTTTCTCAGGTGGTAGAATTTGACGTTTAGTCCCGAGATTTAGGATGGAGAGAACCACGTGACAAAACGTCCCAGTACCAGAAGTTCGAATCAGTGTTGAGGACTGGCAGGTGTTTCGATGCCTTCTCTTATTCGCCTCTTGAGAGTGTTATCGGCTTCCATTGTGATGGTCCAGGAAGAGGAAAAATCAAGGCAATGTCCAGTGTCCCTGAGTTGATCACCCAAACCAGATGTCGATACTCTCTTAATGTCAGTTGATAACGTTTCCGCGATAGAAGCGAAAGCTCTTACTTTTTCTAAGAAAGTAGCCTGATTTGTCCTGTTCCAACTTAACGTAACATTAAAAAACCTTCAATCTTTTCATGGTCGGAAAGGTAGAGGTGGAGGAATTAAAACGAGGTGAAACTGAGACAAGTTAAGTTTCAAGCAATGAGCCACATAATATAACACCGAAACGACAAGACGTGCTCTCACATCAATGTGTTGCTCTCCTTTTTTAAATGTCAAGGTAGGCTTTAGTTATTTAAGAAACTAACTCAAGGAGAAGTACTTACCGCTTCCATATCATCTCCGACATGTACCTCATCATCTGTCATTGCTGCCATTTTTTCTTGTTCGTGTTTCTTCATCATCTCGATATCTTCACCTTCTGCCAAGATTTTATCTTCGTAATCGCGGTCCTAAGACGACAACGTCAACAAATTGATAGAACTCTCTCGCTTCCCTATTGTTTGAACTTTTTCAATTGATATCTCAAAGATTTTCACTCTGAAGGATGTTTTAACTCTTGAATTGATATTTATAAACCCTTTGTCGCTTTCCATGCACTGCGGGCATGCTTCCTCGTATTCTGCACCGTGACGACATGAATCGCCTTTTGCATGCTTGCAGAATCAGTTCTTTCAAATCTTCAATTCATATTCGAGCGATTACATCTTTTTTTCTTTTGTTTATTTTGACTTTCCGTTGTTATGAGAACATCTAAATGCTTTCAAAGGACTGCCCGAAAAGCCGTTGTTGTTTACATGAAAGATCAAGGTTTCAGTAGTTGTTCATAAAATAATTATGATAAAACTATCAGTTACAACAACGAAATGGACTGGTTTATGATTGGTCAGAAACAACAAGCAGCATTTACAGATGAAGCGCATTGTAAATTACCTTCAACCAACAACCAATTCCTTACATTGTCCTGGTTCGCTAAAGGTTTCATTTTTGTTCACATCAACCTAAAACCACAGAACATTTCCCTGCTTCTGCTCGTTAAATTGTTGTTGTTGTTGTTTTTTTTTCGAAGGAGCTGGAGTAAATGCCCCGGCTGACAACTCTTACTGCTACGCGAAGTGCAGCTTGACGGGCCCCAAACAAAGTTACTGGATTTTAAAAAACTTGAATAGTCCGACAAAGCCGCTCCTTGGGATTAAAAAGAACACTGACTACCGAAAAGTTAAGACTGCATTCATTTCTTCCTTGAGATGAGATGCGTTTAATTCTCTTCCTGAGCAGCTGAGAAGGAACGTCGAAAGATCTTAATTTGGTCTCATTTGCGACCCTCTCTCAAACATAATTAATCTTTCGTTAGCTAAAGGTATTTTTCCTGATAAACTTAATGTGACCAAGCTCATTGCTGTCTTTAAGTCTAGCGAGCCTGATCTTTTCAAAAATTACGAACCTATTTCACTATTACCGAATTTTTCTGTGAAAATGTTGTGCAGAATCGAATATCTTCCCACGTAGAACGTCTCGAGATATTGAATAAATTTCAGTTTGGATATGGAGCTAAGCATTCAACATCATTGTCATTGATTCACCTTATCAATACGGTTGCTTCGGCCATTAATGAGGGCCAAGTTAGTGCCGTTGTTTTCCTAGATCTGTCAAAAGCATTTGATACTTTGGATCATGAAATTCTATTTAGAACATTATGGCCTTCGCAGCTTAGCGCTTAAATGGATTAGGAGCTACTTTTCAAAACGTGAGCAGTTTGTCCAGTTTAAAGAAACGCGCTTCCCCGGCTCATCAATTCAAATGTGGTGTTACGCACGGTTCTATCTTAGGCCCCCTCGTCTTTGTTCCTTATATTAACGATCTTCCATATGCTCGTGCGCAAACGGAAACATTATTTTCTGCATATCATACTAGTATTTATTTTTGGCATTAGGATATTAACCAGGTACAGATAGTTATGAATATAGAGCTCGATAGCATTGCTACGTGGATGAAGGCAAATATATTTAACAGTCAATATTAAGAAGACCAATCATATCATATTCAAACCTCGACAAAAAAACTGTCGAGTAATATATCTCTCTCTTTCGACAATAAGCAACTTGAGCAAAAACAGGAAACCAAATTTCTACATCTCGGTGTATATATTCACGAAAATCTATGCTGGAAATCTCACATAAATTTTATCTGTAGCAAAATAGCAAAATTACAGTTCACGCTATCTTTTGTCTATCAGCACTAACTTATCCCTTTATTATACCCTTTTATTATATAAACACCAATGAAATACCAGGTGAGCTTTCGCGCGAAAACTTGATATCTTCGCATGTGAAAATAACATGTTGTCTTCACAACTGAAAATATCACCTTTGCTATGGCTACATAATAAATCGCGCCTTTCACACCAAAAAACTATTAAAGTGAAATGGTTTGGTATTTCACTGGTGTTTATATAATAAATAGAACATTACATGGCCGCTTGAAGATACGAAATTTCTCTTCTCGTGTTGAAGAAATATTTCACTTGTTCGCTGCGCTCACTCGTGAAATATTTTTCAGCACTCGAAGAGAAATTTTGTATCTCCGCGCGGCCATGTAATATCCTCTATGTATAAGAAATCAGAAAAAATAACGTTCCCACCGCTAATGGCATAAAAGGCTAATCGAGGCGGGGGAAAGATGAAAACAAACTTAAGGTAATAAAATAAGACAAAACTGATGACGGCAAACTAAGATAGGACTAACAATTCAATAAGGTTAAATAGGAAAATTAAATGGAAAAATTTACATCCAAAGATAAATGAATAAATAAAATAAAAATATCTATTGCGCTTTCCAAGGCTAAGGTAATTTGCTAAATATAAAGTAATTGATCAATTGAGAGACTTCAATATTGTCATTCTCACGCTCTAAAGTTTCAAGAAGTGTTTGTTTAATTTTGTTTCGGAACTTGTATTTACTAAGAGATTTAACAGAATAAGGGATCGAGTTCCAAATCGATACACCAATACTTGCAAAAGATTTTTTCCTTGGCTCAGTTTTGGAATCTTTCACATAGAAGCATTCATTTGACGATGATCTGGCATTATAATTGTGAATCATACTAGTTTTGGTGAATTGCCTAAGAATGTCAGTTGGGACGGACTGCTCAGGAATGTCATATATTAGATAACTTACATGTTTAAAAAAATGGTACTTGAACTCTTTAAAGGATAGAAAACAAAGGGTATGTTGCAACAACTTCGAGTGTGACTGGAAACTGGTTAACAAAGGGACAACTCAAGGTAGCGTTAGCTGTCCTTACCTTTTTAACATCTCAATGATCTTAACATCACTTTAGGTAATCATGACGCGCTATTTAAGTACGCTGATGTTTCGACAGTTATTACTCCTGTATGGAAGGAGGTAGACTACTCCGATCAGTTGGTGTCACAGGTTTTAGATTGGACGAATACAAATGGAATGTCTTGCAACCCAAACAAATGTAAAGATTTGACGATCAAAAAGAGAGGCAACCGCGATCTCTATTCACCTATTGTGATGAAACCAGGCTGTAAAGAAGTTGAGATTTTGGGCGGCACCTTCCAATGTGACAGCAAATTTTCAGTGCACGCTAACAAATCCCTACATATCCTTAGAAAGCTGCGCAAAGAGGGTTACAATCAGTCAGAAGTAGACCCTCTCTTTAATATAATAGTTCTACCTAATATTAATTACGCATTATCTATCCACGCCGCGTCTGAGTCCGATCTTACACCTCTAAAATGTTTCTTAGACCGCTGTTTCAAAAGGAAATATACGTCTAAGCCTGTAGGTGTTTATGATTTCTTAGAGAGGCAAGACCATAAAATTTTCAGAAAAGTTTCTAATGCTAAAAGGCATCCACTTTTATCTATTATGCCTCGTGTTAAACCGTCCAGTTACAATCTTAGGAAAGAAACTTGTTTTAAATCTAAGATTAACACTATGCGTTTTAAAAACTCTTTTATTAATCGATTAGTCTTTAACTAAGAATTAGCTATGCAATATAATAGATTTTTTTTAATTCTTACTTTTCAACTTTTTAAAATTTCTTACACTTACTTGTAACAAAGATATGTATTTTTGCGTTTTGATGAATAAAGACTTTATTATTATTACTTTGTTATAATATAAAGAGTCAGCTTATTGGCTTCCAGCCATTCACAAACTTTAGCAAATTCCAGATTAACAGTTGATTCAAGTACACTCAGGTTTTTATTAGTGTAAGTAAGAGTGGAATGGTCAGCAAACAAATGAAAGGATAATTCCTTGAAAGATTTAAAGATGTCATTAATGTATAATAAGAATAAAAGGGGGGCAAGGACAGAACCTTGAGGAACCCCACACAGGGTTACCTCATTATCAGGGACATGACCATCAATCTCAATTTTCCGCGTGCGGTTTGATAAATATGATTGCAATCAGGAATTTATCACCCATCTTATACCATAATTTTCAAGTTTAGCCAATAGAATACTGTGGTTAACAGTCCTACACACACTGCTCCATCATTTACCAAACTCAAAATTTTACATATATTTGGTCTAAATTTATGTTCTGCTTTCATCATCATTTGCTTCGTTCTTCTTTTCTAAACCTATTTATAACTGGTTGCCAGGTACACACATATGCCACCAGATTTGTAACAAATTACAGACCACACTTTTGTCGAACAAATATTAAACAGTTTACTGTTTTATACTTCGGTCCAAAAATTTGGAATTCCCTTCCATTATCCGTTTCAAGCTCTACCGCTTTTGCTAATTTTAAGAAGCGTCTTCGCGACTTTCTTTCTCGTACCTTTGAAACTGACTTAAGTCTGGTGTACTCTTATGCTGCAGCCTAGTCCTAATTTATTTCAATCAATAATGATATCATGAGGAGACCTCCTTGTACAAGCCTTTGGCTTTCTGAGGTCTCCGCACCTCTCACTGCTTTGATCCCTCTATATATTACCTATTTTACCTATTTTGTAAAAGTGTTCTTGTTGAACTTAACCTGTACTGTTTTTCAAGATTAACATATCTTGTATTGAAATTATGGCCAGTATTATGAATTTTATCTTAAACTGACTATAACCCTGTAATCTTACACAATATGGTGATGCAAAATAGAAAAATAAAAAAAATAAGTAATCTCGTTTCTAGTTCTCTTGTCGGCTTCTTCAACAAGAGATCTGGAAACGAGATTAGAGTGATCACAGCTCGTCCGTTCAAATCAAAATAGACAATGCCCAATGCCTCACGGGATGTGACAAAGGGTCTTTAGCTCAACCACTCTCCCTCCCCTCTACACGCGTATTTTCACGTGAGTTTTAAGGCTTTAGCCAACTACTGTCCAGTACGTGCTCGAGTGTAAGTTTGAACTTCGTTGAGTAGTGTTCCAGATTTTTGTTTGCTTTGTTTTGAAGTCGTTAATAATAAAAGAATAATCAACACTATAAGGGTATAAGGGTGTACGCCAAGCAGGCGTCGGTTTCTTTAAACTGTCAAATTATTTCAGGAATCTGTTTTGTGAGATAAATATTTCAAAATTTTAATACCTATGTTGACTTCAACTATCATATTCTATTTTACATGGCCGGTGTCTTCTACAAGAGACAAATAACCCTTCATAGCCCAGAAATATCAGCGTCAAACGCTGCTATCTGAACCCACGAAACGGTAAGTGTATCTGAGTTGGTAATGATTCAATTTTATCTTACATAGTTTAAATATTATTTCCTTTGCTTTGGGGTGTAGTAATGGATGATATCCAACAAAAACATAAAACATAACACAGTACCTTGGTTTCCTCTATCTGTCTCTTTTCTAACTGTTCCATCTTTGCTTTCCTTCGTCGTGCTAGTTTTTCCTCTAGTAACTGGCGTTGCCGTAACTTGCTTAACGTAAGACTAACGTGAATTGAAAAATATATACTTTGGAAACTGACTTCATTAAAATGTCAGTTAAGTCTAGAAAAGTTTTCCAAAACTATACTTTGAAGATAACCGAAGTTGCAACTATACTAAAAAGCGGAGAATTCTAAACTAAACTGAGAGGGTGCGTCGTTGGCAGGGGTAAAAAAGGTACATCGTAATGACTACTTTCTGAACTCAGAACGTAGCTTTTAATGTAGAACTATCCCCGGAACGGGAGGTGAACAGTGGTACATATACCGAGACGCGAAGCGTCGAGGTAAATATCTAGCGCTGTTGACCGACCCTGAGGGGGATAGTTGTTTTAGTATTTACCAAATCAGTTGGATAAAAGTGAAAGAAAAGTAAGTTTTTGTAAATTAAAAGCTTCACTTAGTAGGAACTTTGTTTACAGTTTACAAATATTTCGGGGATTTTGTCAAGTGCATTTTACGATTTTGTTGCAAATTCTACCATCCAGTGAACAGACAAGCCAAAGTTCGTCGCTTTCTTGGTATTTTCTTGTACGACTACTTCATTTATCACACAAATTTCGTCTTCCGAAAATGTCTCGAAACGAGACGCCATCTTGGCTCTGGTCGCAAAACAGTGAATTGCCAAGGTTATTCCAAGTTACGGGAGCCAATCAAAACGCGCGAAAATTGCTATTCACTGATTTGGTAAATACTAAATCATAATGTCTACCTTTAAACTCAGAAAATTGTGTTTAAAACTTTACAGTACCTGCTTTCTAGCCCAGCAACATTTTTTTCATGCTCTTGGATAATCCTGTCTCTTTCTTCCTCTGATAACGCCACTTGATTGACAATTAAGTCTCTGCAGTAGTAAGGTGACAAAATTTTGAAAATAGAACTCCGTGTTTTTACAGATTATCTATATCAGTATATTTGCGTTAGTGAACATAGGCCTACCATTCCTCCACGGTAATGGTATGCCGCAGCACGATAATGAGATGCCGTAGCACTGTATCAAGATGCCGCCGTATCTCCGAACCATTTTGGAACTCCAGCGATGCATACTATTACTACGGATGTAAGCCCTCTTCAAGAAAACATTTTTAGTGTCGGAACAAAGCAGGTAATGTCGAGCGGGTAAGTTAGGCCAAATTTATCCACTGGGGTAACCAGTAGGAACCCTGAATTCTCTTAATCGCGCGCCTTATACACCTTTTGCTGTTCATTACGAGAAAATACGCAATCATTTGTGTGAAACGGCGACCAATAGTGCGAAGATACATTCATTAGCGCGAAAATACGAACATTTGCGCATAAATCAGATTCAATTACGATTTTTGCATTTTAATCAACATTCAATAACACTTTTGGGCATTCATATGCATCATTGGGCATACAAAAGAGAAAAATATACTTTCAGTAACGCCAACATCAAAGTCATTAACACCATTTTGAAAGTCAAAAGGGATAACTGACATACATTAAAGTGCAAACACTATTTATTAACATTTTTATGACACTGTTTGCAATTCAATAACACTTCTAGACCACCTTAGGATGGATAAGACAAACATTAATGCGCTTGTACAATCAATTGAGCGTTCTTTACATTTAAGATACAAAAATCGATTTTCAATTAAACAACAGAAATTCAAACAAATTTGGCCTGAATTGCAGTCCGTTATATGTATATCTCTCAAAAACCTCGCTAATTAAACATTTTGGGAGGTAGGTTTGCCTTGGTACCCCTTAGCACATTTAGCTGCGGTCACAATGTCATGTTTCAGCGCAGAACTTCAGCAAGCACTGCAGTTGTTGTTTCCGAAATCCGCCGTAGTGGGATTGCTAGGGCTTTGCCCTCTTATTCCTGTTATACATCTTTAAACTTCCGGACTCGAGATGTCGGCCTTTGGTGTCGCTTTCAGACAACTTAAATCCTGTTCAACGATGTCGAGTTGGGAAGCATAAGTTTTGTACGTATGGGGCGGGAATGACCAAATCTAGGTGGGCTGGCAGCCCGTCATATCCAAAGACCACCGACTTATCAGGATCCATTTTTTCCTCGCCCGCGCCAGAAAGTCCCCGAAAAACCGGCACAGTATTCATTACTCCAGCAGCTGCCGAGAAAAACATTTGATAGGTGATATTGCCATGGTCATAGTCAAATTTCGTCCTCGTTGGCCGCACACTTGGAGGTACGCCCACCACTCCCTGTCGCGCCCCGCCATGACTTCTGGCCAACTAGGGTAAATGTATAACCGCAGCCGTCGACGAACACACAGTGGCGAAGTACGGCGTGATTCTTCAAATTCAGGCCAATTTTGGGGGGGAATTGGTATTGTTTAATTGAAAATAGATTTTTGTCTATTAAATGTAAAGAACGCTCACATTGACTGTCCAATCGCATTAATGTTTGTCTTATCCATTCTAAAGCTGTCCAGGAAAGCTATTGAATTGCAAACAGTGTAATATAAATGTTAATGTTAAACGTTTGCACTTAAATGTTTGTCTATTGTCCCTCATGATTTTCAAGATAATGTTAATGACTTGAATGTTGACGTTAATGAAAGTATATTTTTCTCTTTTGTATGCCGAATGACGCAAATGAATGCCCAAAAATGTTATTGAATGTTGATTAAAATGCAAAAATAATTACTGAATCTGATTTATGCGCAAATGTTCGCTTTTTCGCGCTAATGAACGTATCTTCGCGCTGTTGGTCGCCGTGTCACAGAAATGAATGCGTATTCATTTCTCGTAATGAACAGCAAAAGGTGTAATAAAAACTGATATTGGCCACATTAACAGGAGAAATCACGTGATGGACCAGAAACAAATCGATCCAGGCGAGACATGAAGGACTTACCACGGAACTTCAAAATTAATACAGAAAACCAGGGTAGTGCGAATGTTTGGTCTAAAAAGAAGGAGGTGCCCAAAACCAGAGTTTAACGTAACGTATTCGTTAAGCTTAAAACACCACAGCGCTCTTGGGGATTCTCCTGTGCTCCTACAATGACTGAATACAGTCGAATTAGTGTTCGACCTGATAGTATCAAAACGTTTGTTTTTTGAAAAGCGAATTCATTGACTTTGCAGCGTTTTTCATATATCCAATGCTACACTCTTGGACTTTCAACGCTCGTCAAATCTCAATTTGGCCACGTTTGGCCAGTCACTTACCCAACAATCTTGTCTTCTTGTTTCCTAACTTCCGCTTGCTCTACTTGCTCTTCTTTCATCTTCTTTTCTAATAGAGCGCGCTGCTTCTCTAATCGTCTCTAAAACAAAATATATGTTTATTTTGTAATATCATGACTGAAGACAAAATTTACAAAAATTTTAGGATTCAATCTCTCATAACCAATTGATGAACTCTTGTGTGAAGTATTTACTGTGCCGAACGTGGATTAAATTACATATTATCTTGGCAATTTACCGTAAGTTACTGACCTCCAGTAAATCTCTTTGACGCCTACGCTCTTCTTCCCGAGCCTCTTGCTGCAAAGCAACGTCTGCCATATGTCGCTCGAGAATGGCTTCCTTCTCAGATTCCGACAGGCCTATTGCAACGAGGGAAACAAGTCCAAACATAATTCACAAGAAAAAGGGAGAAAGGCCTGCAGCTAAGGCCAGCTTACCTTTGTTTATAAGCTCTTGGTATATTTTCTGCGAATTTTGTTTCATAAGATGATTTGCCTCCTGAGTGTGATGATCGCGTAGGTTCTGAAGTTCCTCAGCCGCCTGTAGACACAAAACATCGCGTTTCAGAACATACAGTCTACCATTACAAACAACTGTTATGTTAAGCGCTCCCCCCCTCCCCCCACTCCCCCCTCAAGCACAAAATACATGGCAATGTCAATATATCATCAGCATCAAAGAGCAGCTAGATATAGTCTAACCTCCACAAACGGCCACTATTTTTTGTCCCGGTGGACTTATTATCCACACATTGACTCTTGTTTAATTCTCTTTACAACGGTCACTTTCTTTCGTCCCCAAGGTGGCTGTTGTGGAGAGGTTCAACTGTACAAGTCTATTTGGAGGTTCAGTTCTCGTTGTTTTCAAAGCTGTCAGGGTGTCAATTTCATTTACACTTCACAGAAAAAAAAAAATTAACTGAACTTAGCCAGGCATACCTAAGTTCTGTCTAAGCGTTTCATTAAAATTCGACAAGAACAATGCATTTTTTCGTCTCTTCGAGAACTGAAAATCATGGCCGGAGTATTAAGTGTTTGAGTCAGTGTAGTGTATTGGGTATGTTTGGACGGAGTGTGAGCCAGGGATAAGATATATTGGACGCACGAAATTAAACTTGAAAAATACACCTTGCAACAATGAACTCACAAGGCCAATAATCAGGGCATACCTCTTTGTCAGAGTTTCTCTCAGTTTCTTCGATTTCTTGGCGCTGTTTCACTAAAAGCTTCTGTTTTTCATTAACTGCAGCCAAAGTATCTAAGAAAACATGGCATACAAAACAATAACTGTCTATTAAGTTGTTATGGTAAAAAAAGAGTAAAGTGTTAGACACTGGATGTGAGAAAACTCAGAAGTGGCTCACAGGTTTAAAGGCTCACTGATATCCTGATCATAAAGAAAACTAACTCAGCATTTTCAATCCTATTAGTTAGTATATAGAATTAGCCAAGGCTAAAAGCGAAGCTCTCGTTTACAAACTCAAATTTACTTAAACAAAAGGTAAACTTGAAACCACTGCGAGGAAATCTTTCAAAACTGTGATTGATATTAGTCCGATCACAATCATGCCCAACATTTTATTAATGAGATTAGGACAAGAGGCTATGGGCTACGACCTTATTGATGTTAATGTTTCGCACCGAATGTTGATGAGATTTCCCAACAAAAGGCCTTGAACATCCCTACTATACTGCTTACCTATCTCTACGTGTTCAAATTTTTCAGCCTGTCGCTGTTCAAATTCCTCGACCTGACGCTGGTGCTCACGTACCTAAATCAAAGGAATTCATGGGATGAGATCAATATCTTCCCTAAACGTATGCGTATTTTAATTTAAAAATTGCGCAAAGACTCGTGAACAAGTGCACGCAGGCTTCGACGCTTGCAATGCAAAACCAAAGCAGGCTTTGGACCCCTCCACACGAATCCGGATATTTTTTAAACCACATATTTTTTTAACAACAAACACGAAACCACTGAAGTTTTCACCTCACTGGTGATATCACTGAAGCATTTAACAATCGTTTTACAAACATTGGCCAATCTCTAGCTCAAGAAATTCCTAGTTTAGAAATTGATCCACTTGCCTATGTTAATCCTGTTGACGGGGTATTTTCTTTTCAACGGATCAATGTTCAAAAAGTCATCAAATTACTTAAAGCTATCGACGTAGGTAAGGCAACTGGTCTTGACAAAATTCTAAACAGGCTTCTGAAGAGTGCTGCCGATGTCGTCGTGGTCTCGTTAACGGGCATCTTTAATCAATCGTTAGTGAATGGTATTTTCCCTTCTGACTGGAAATTGGCTAAAGGGACACCAATTTTTAAGAACGGTTCTAAGTCTGACCTAAACAACTAGCGACCTATATCTGTTATTCCTACCGTAGCCAAATTTTTGGAAAAAAATATCTTTGACCAACTACATCACCATTTGAATGAAAATGGTTTATTAAATAACGGCCAGTCTGGTTTGCGCTCGCTACACAGCACTCTTACTGCTTTGTTGGAGACAAACGATAGTTGGTGTGTTAATATTGATAGAGGTCTTCTTAATGGCGTAATCTTTATTGACTTGAAGAAGGTCTTTGACACTTCTGACCACGAGATAATTCTAAAAAAAATTACTAAGTACGACGTTGATTAAGACGCCCTGAAATGGTTTAAATCTTACCTAACTAACCGTATGCAAAGGCGTAATGTAAATAATCATCAATCTAGCCCGAGCCCTCTAATTTGTGGCGTACCTCAAGGGTCAATAATCGGTCCTCTCCTTTTCTTGATCTGTGTAAATGACTTACCAAATTGTTCTAATGCGGGCTCTCCTAGAATGTATGCTGACGACACAAATGTTACCTTTTCTGCAGCTAATATACCTGATCTTGACTCCCAAATCAATAGTGACCTGAAATATATTGATCGCTGGCTCAAAGCTAATAAGTCTCAATGTCGCCAGTTAGCTCGAGGCAGAAACTACAGTCGTTAAATGACTACACAATGAACATTCATGTAGACGTTGTCCCAATAAACCAAAGCGATCAAAGCAAATCTCTCGCGCCTATAATTGATGAAAATCTGTCGTGGAAGGCCCACATACATGAAATCTCTAGAAAAAGTATCCTCTGCTATCGGTGCAGGTCAGGCCATTTGTTTCAATGTACACTGCAATTAAAATGTACAAAGGTCTTATCCAGCCATACTTCGATTATTGCAGAGCTGCATGGGATGGCTTGACCCAACACCTTAGTGAGAAACTTCAAAAACTTCAAAATCGTGCTATCAGAGTTATCCTTAAATCTAGCTATGATACGAGCTCCAGATGTCTTCTTAACTCGCTTGTTTGGGACCGTTTATCGGTTAGAAGGGCTACACAAAAGGCTAATTTAATGTACAAGTGCATTAATAATCTCGCCCCAGCTTATCTCTGTAATTTGTTCACTGTTTGTTTGCCCCAAGAACACCGAATTACTCTATTCGCAACGCCAAGAAAAATTGATTGTCCCAAAACCAAGAACTGATTACCTGAAGCGTAGCCTGCGTAGCATGGCGGTTTTGTCGGAAGCACGACTGAGCGGCGAAGCCGAAAAAACGCGCGAGGACACACGGCAAATATGTAAAACAGTTTTTGAGAATTTTTAATTAATTTTCTATGTTAGACGGATGTTTTTAACCGTGTCATTCCATTGAATCCGCTTACCGAAACCGCTGTTTGTAAAACCGTTCGCCAGAGTGGTGTAAGGCCCCGTCTACACGAATCTGGGTTGAAGCCGGAAATACTGTTTCTAAAGGTTTCCAAAATGTCCGCATTCAAGTGGACGTGTGCCATACTAGCTGACTGCATTTGGAAAAACTCATTTAAAATACCTTCTCTTCAATTTTCCTTTGCTTAAGTGCAGTTAATTTCTGGTGTAGTTTCTGCTCTTGTCGCTTTCTGTCTTTGGCAAGTTTACTCTCTACCAACTCCATCTCTTTTCTGAATCGCTTCAGGTAGAGCGCAGCGTCGTCAGTGCTAAGCGTCGATGACCTGAAGAAGGTTTAGAAGGTAAAACAATGTGTCCAAAAAATTAGGTCGACAAGAATTGCTAAAAGAGTATTAATAATTTTGCAGTACTATAAGCAGTGATACTCTAGTGTCAGGGCCTTTAAGTCACTTGGAAAAAAAAAAAGCTGAAGAACGCCAGTTACTTGAAAAAAACACCTGAAGAACGCTTTGCACACGGGTACGCTGAACTACTGAACCCGTCTGTACTTCAATGAATTATATTTCTGTCTAGAAGGGATAATAATAGAAAACTGACGTACCTCACAAGACTTTCTAGTGCGTCAGAATGACCTTCCTCCAGTTTTTTCAAATCGCTTCTTTTCCGCTCCTCTTCTCCTTGCTATAATGAAAATAATCGGTAAAGATCTCTGAACAGCGAAAATAATAAATCAGAAAGTTCACTTACTTTTATCGGCGACTCGACAGAGGACCCGGGTAAAGTGGTTTTTGAGAAGCTCTTGTCAGGGTCCCTCTCTTGGCCAGGTTTACTTCCACAAATATAGCAATAACTTCAACTCACCTTTTGTCGGGCGAGCGCTTTCCTCTCTGTCAACTTCATCTCAAGTTCCACAACACGCCTAGCTTTCTCCTCGTCCGTCGCCTTATCAATTGCCGCCATATTAGCCAAGTGGCTATATATTAAAGCGTTTGCTTGCTCCTCATCCAATTTAGCGTCTTTTATCAATTTCTGGATCATTTTGTTTTGTGCTTCTTTCAAAGCGAAGCGTTTGCTGATGGACACTTCCTATGATAGTGAAAGAAGAAGGGGAGATCATTTACTTGGAAAAGTACCGCGCCCAACACAAACAACGCCAATTATGATTAGAAAGACAGGAAAGTAAATACCGTCAAGAGAAACAGTGAGCTTTAGGACCGCGCTGACCCGGACACTACTTCTGCAACTTTGGAAAGCGTTTACCTAAACTCGAAATCAAAGGCACAAGTCTGATACATGTAGAAGTCCGCTTCAATCTTGCACAGTGCTTCATTCGATCTTCAACATTTTACTGAAAACCTGTTCCTAAGTATTCTTTTACTCATCCTATAATATTTGGTTAAAAAAGCTTTTTGTGATATGCACATCAGCTAAGAAATGGCGTCTAATACGCAGGTGCATTGGCTGACTGTGTCCCTTTAGACCTCTTTTTACCTTTCTTAGTTTCTCCATTTCTACGTCTTGTTCGAGCTTGAGGTTTTGTTTCAGCTCATGTTCTTGAGCTTCGTGTCTTTTTTTCAGAAGATCCAAGATTTCTTTCTTCTCCTGCTAGCAAAAAAGAAGATTAAAATCCACCGGACAATGGGTAAAGGCTGCCCTCCAAGAGAAAAAGGTGTTTTGCTTCAAATAAAATTGCAATCTCACCTCATTCAAAAGTCCTTTAGTTTTACTTTCCATTTCTTCACTTTCCTTAATTTGCTTCCGATGCAAGGTATCCAAACAATTCTGCAACGAGAATGAATCGGACGCCATGAGGAAATAGAATACATATGGAGTATACCTGCTGTTCACGCAACTGGATTTCAAAGTGCATTAAACTGCACTGCTGGTTAGCTCAGTTGGGAGAGCGCCGGTCTGCTGAGCGGGAGGTCGCGGGTTTAACCTCGGCCGGACTAACACTCAGAGTCTTTAAAATAACTGAGAAGAAAGTTCTGCCTTTATAATGACATCTAAAAACGGTTAGACTTTCTAGTCTTGTCGCACAAGGACGAAAAACCGCAGGTCCCGTCTCACTGCACTTTCAGTTATCTGGTTCTAAGGAGGCGCAAAAGAAACCACACCACTGTTCGAAAAGAGTAGGGGACGTAGACCCCGGTGGAGTGGCCAGCCTTTCCTGGGATGGGTGGGTTATCTGTAAGGAGAGATCTTAATATAGGATAACCTCATGATCCTCCTTCAGGTGTCTTAATGGCTTCTTGTAAACCAGTGTATGTATGTATGTTATTCAAAGAATGAAAATTACGACGTACCCGCATAACGCAGATACTAATTCGTTTATAGCAAGAGCTGCAAGACTCCTTTTATGATCTGTATATTTTCTACTTACTTTTTGTATTAGCATAGTCGCTTAATAGCATTTCATAGTATATGTTTTTCACTTTAATTATGTAAATCCATTGTATATATTTTTTTAAAGATGGATAAATAAAGCTTATTATTATTATTACCCGATGAAGCAAGTCTCGCTTTGCCAACTTGACTAAGAAACACTAATACTACTTTTGTAGTTTAAAAATTTCAAAAATAGTATTACTGTTCCCTCAAAATTAACTCCTGAGTGGTAACTGTTTTTTTACTGTCAGTGTAACCAGTCAAATCACACGTAACCCAAGCTGACGAGTGAGAATCGTTGTTGCGTAGCAGAAATATCATAAGAGTTCATATGGAGATTAAAGCAATCGTTATTTAGGGGTCAAAAATAGTAATAAAGATACATCAGAATTTCTTACCTTGTCTCCTTGTCTTAATTTATGGTGTTTTCTTAGTACTTTTGGCCGTTTGCCGTTGTTCGTTATATTTCTATATAACGAACAACGGTGAACTAAAACTCGCTGGAATCGCCCTGAAACGGCCAAAAATGCTAAGAAAACACCATAAATTTAGACAAAAAGACAAGGCAAGAAACTTGGATGTATTTTTATTACATTTTTGACCCCTAAATAACGATCGCTTAAATCCCCATACAAACCCTTAACCTGTTACGCAACAACGATTCTCACTCGTGGGCTTGGGGTACCTGTGGTCAAATATAAGTTAGTTATAGCAGTTCCTCAACCCGCCAGAGAAAACGTGCATTGAAATTCACTGTGGCTCTGTTTTCTTTTTATATATATAGTGTTGCCAAAATTAACTTGTCTGGATATCCTGGCTGATACTCAGTACTTTACCTTCCCTTCCGTTTGTAGCTTCTTTCTAAGTTCAATTGACTTTCTTTTATATTCCGCTGACATCTTAAATGCTACTGCTCCGATTGCTTGTTTGATTTCTAAGCAAAACTGGAGAACCACCAAACGTCAACAACACAAAGTCAACCAATGCTCTTTGTTATGATTAATGGCTGTTTGTTAAATATAATGTCTTTCCTTTAATTAAAATACCGTTCTAATTATTCTTCCCGATAACACCATTTGGCTCGTGCCTTCAAATAAAGGCGTGCTGACTGATTTACTGCTTGGGTAATATACTAAACACTGAGCTACACCAATTGTCAATTTGGTTTAGAGTTAATAGGCTTTCATAAAACCTGAAAAAAAGAAACAACTAAATTTATTGTATTTAAACCATGCCGAAAGCGTACAAATCATAATATTCAACTTTTAATACATGGCCAGAAAATTGACCAGGTAACTGAGAAACAGTTTTCTTGGGAGTAATCATGGATGAAAATTTAAAATGGAAGTCTGAAATCTCTCAATGTAGCCAACCAACAAAGTTCAGTTCTAAATCCGTATGAATTATTCGTAAATCCAGTTTCTATTTATCTACAAAAACTTTACAAACATTGTATTTTTCTCTAGTCTATCCACGCTTATTTACAGCAACTTAGTTTGGGTATCTAGTTACAGAACTAACCTTATTAGCCTCAGAAAACAGCCGACATTTGGCGACGCTACCACTGGTTTCCCCGCCAAATGACGTCCGAGAAACGAGCCCAGAAATTCCATACTGATGACGTGTCACTAGCCAGATCTGGGTAGTGCATCTGATTGGTTGAATCAAATTTCCCAACCAATCAGAAGCACTGCCCAGATCTGGATAGTGACGCGTTATCAGTATGGTACCGCCGCCTGGTTAGCTCAGTTGGGAGAGCGCCGGTCTACTGAGCGGGAGGTCGCGGGTTCAAACCCCGGCCGGACCAACACTCAGGGTCTTTAAATAACTGAGGAGAAAGTGCTGCCTTTGTAATAATATCTGCAAACGGCTAGACTCTCTAGTCTTCTCGGATAAGGACGATAAACCGTAGGCCCCGTCTCACAAGCCCTTGCACATGTATTAAAACTGTGGGACGTTAAAGAACCCACACACTCTCCGTAAAGAGTAGGGCACGTAGTGCCCGGTGTAGTGGCCTATCTCACTTTCACACTCATGTATGGGGGCATCATTACTCATTCCTTCACTACTTGTAAACTGCACCTTAAGCAGTCTGGCAAAGTCCCCCAAACAGTGTTGTAAATTATCCCTGAAAAGCCCTGAGGGGAGTGGATAATAAGATATTTACAATTTACAATTTACAATTTACTGCTGCGCTCGTTTCTCAGAAGTCATTTGGCGGGGAAACCAGTGGTTGCGTCGCCAAATGTCGACTGTTTTCTCAGGCTATAACTAACCTTATCCGTCTTGAAATTTTATAGAAGCGAGTGATCAGAACTATAGCTGAAACTCCTTTCGATGCTCACACTGACTCAATTTTTAGAAATCTTGGTATTTTAAAATTTCCTGATATATACTTAATACAACTAGGCTGATTCATACATTACTATCAAAACGGTACGCAACCTTTGAAATTTCATTGTAAAGTCTTATAAATTTCGTTTGCCTTTCTTTCGTAATCAAATCAAACAATTTTCCTTCTACATCAAAAACCGAAATTTTATAACACAACAAACACCGGCATCGTGAACTCTTCCTCCCCTTTCTCCTTTAAAGGAGCACTTGAGGCATTCATTTGTAATAACTATTATTGTTATATCCCTAGACTTTCACTCAACTAAACTGGGACTGCCATTGGTTGATTCTTGGTCACATGACCTTCAGTAAAATCAAATGTATCCCTATCGTGATACAATTAAGCATTCTACCCCCCTCGGGATACATTACATACCGCACGTGATCAAATCATGGTGGAAAATGGAGTGACACAAGGCGGGAAAAACGCTGCCAGTTTTCACTTTCCGGAATGAACACAACAACACAAACATAAAGCCTAAAACTTAAAAGCAACCGAGTTTCAAAGTTATCCCAGAAAAGAACCAGCAACTTGTGGAGGAAAAAGATGTAGATAATATAAGGAAAGTATTTGGTAAATCATTCATTCAGTGGTTTTGAGAATTATATTTGTGTTCTTACAAGTACCGAGTCGACTGTTTCGATTCGCTTCGGTTATTCTTTTGTTGCTGTTGAAGTGAAACTCTAGAAATATAACAAAACAATTTATTTCAGGTCCCTCGGGAAACCAGTTAGTTTTGTTTTCCTTAGAGTCCTGATGTTTCCCTCCGGATCTGACATTAAGTGTATAGTACATTCTAACATTTGTAAACTTCCTTATTATATTGTTACTTAAATTTCTTGAAAATAATAATTGTACCCGTCGTCGTAATTTTTATGACATCTATGAAAATTTGTTATTGAGGAGGCCTAATGGAGAGGAGAAGTGTGACGTCACGTTACTATGGTAGCAAAATTTCTGGATCACAACAATAGAGAGCTTAAGCAACGACTACGGCGACAGCAAAGACAACTGAAAAAGCAATAGGTTTATATCAGCAAAACAACAACTCTGAACGTGCATCCGGCTTTTTTATACGTTTCTTAACCATCGTTGCACGACTGCGACGTGAAACTTCCTAATTTCACGCACCCGATTTACGAAGAAGGCGAGCACAACGCAGAAAAAAATCCTTTTCTAGACTTAGATACGGTCCTTTTGCATTTGACCCCAGACGTTTTCGCCATCATTCGACAAATTAAATGAAATTGAATAAGATCTTCGAAGTTTGACACAGTGCAAATTCTTTTTTTAAGTGATGTTTTCGGTTTCTTGTCAACCAGAAATTTTGCTGCTATGGCAACCTGACGTAACGACTTCTCCTCTCTATTAACATAAGCTATATAGTTTCCTTTAGTCCTCCTCGCCATTACTTTTCTGTATCTTTTTTGAAATTGTAATAATTTATTTGTGTGGCAAATAAAATGCAAACTGGAACAAACTGGAAGGACTAACTTACGTTCCCTTCTTGTTCAGAAGAAATTTCTCTCTTCACTCGCAGCTTTCTGGCCAGCAGTTTCACAGCTTTCACAAACATGTTTTGTCTTTGATTTTCTAGATCAGCGTCCATAACTGCGGTGTATTGGACATCCAAACTGAAACCGAGAAAAACAGAGTAAGAGTCCATGACACCTACCGGTCTCGTAAACCAAGCAAGGTTTCGTCAAGATAGGCTGACATTGTGTTCGCGCAAACACCCCCTGCCAGTGTATATTGGCTTGTTTAAAACGGTAATGGGTTCATGATAACCGTCACGAATATAAAGACATTTAGTGACCACTTTGCCCACTGTGAGAATGTTAATGTAATTGCTGTAGTTGCTGTACTTAGCGTAGTTGCTGTAGTTGGTGTAGTAGCTGTAGTTAGTGTCGTTAGTGTAGTTGGTGTAGCAGCTGTAGTTGGTGTAGTTGGTGTAGTAGCTGTAGTTGCTGTAGTTGCTGTAGTTAGTGTAGTTACTGTAGTTAGTGTAGTTGCAGTAGTCGGTGTAGTAGCTGTAGTTAGTGTAGTAGCTGTAGTTGGTGTCGTTAGTGTAGTTGGTGTAGCAGCTGTAGTTGGTGTAGTTGGTGTAGTTGGTGTAGTTGGTGTAGTAGGTGTAGTTGGTGTAGTAGCTGTAGTTGGTGTAGTTAATGTAGTTGGTGTAGTTAGTGTAGTTGGTGTAGTTAGTGTAGTTGGTGTAGTTAGTGTAGTAGCTGTAGTTGGTGTAGTAGCTGTAGTTGGTGTAGTTACTGTAGTTGCTGTAGTTGGTGTAGTAGCGGTAGTTGGTGTAGTTAGTGTAGTTGCTGTAGTTGGTGTAGTTAGTGTAGTTGCTGTAGTTGCTGTAGTTACTATAGTTGCTGTAGTTGCTGTAGCTGGTGTAGTAGCTGTAGTTGGTGTAACAGCTGTAGTTGGTGTAGTTTGTGTAGTTAGTGTAGTTGTTACACAAAACTACACCAAACTACACCACCTACATCAAACTAAACCAACTACACAACACTAAACCAAATAACACCTACCAAACCAAACTACACCAAACTACACCATGTACACAAAACTACACCAACTACACAAAACTACACCAAAGACACCTACTACACCAAACTACACCAAACTACACCAACTACACAAAACTACACTAAACTACACCAACCTACACCTACTACACCAAACTACACAAAACTACACCAACCTACACCAACTACACCAAACTACACCCACTACACAAAACTACACTAACTACACCAACTACACCAACTACAGCAACTACACTAACTACACAAACTACACTAACTACACCAACTAAACTAACTACACCAACTACACAAACTACACCAACTACAGCAACTACACCAGCTATAGCTACTACACCAACTACACAAACTACACTAACTACACCAACTACACTAACTACACCAACTCCACCAACTACAGCTACTACACCAACTACAGCAACTTCACTAACTACACCAACTACAGCTACTACACCAACTATAGCAACTACATCAACTACACCAACTACAGCAACTACATCAACTACAGCAACTACAGCTACTAGACCAACTACAGCAATTACACTAACTACACCAACTACTGCAACTACACTAACTACACCACCTACACTAACTACACCAACTACAGCTACTACACCAACTACAGCTACTACAGGAACTACATCAACTACAGCAACTACACCAACTACACCAACTACACTAACTACACCAACTACACCAACCACAGCAACTAAACCAACTACACCAACTACAGCTACTACACCAACTACAGCAACTACACTTACTACACCTACTACAGCAACTACATCAACTACAGCAACTACAGCTACTACACCAACTACAGCAACTACACTAACTACACCAACTACAGCTACCACACCAACTCCAGCTACTACACTAACTACACCAAACAAAACTAACTACAGCAACTACACCAACTACAGCTACTACACCACCTACAGCTACTACACTAACTACACCAACTACACCAACTACAGCTACAACACCAACTACACCAACTACAGCTACTACACCAACTACAGCAACTACAGCAACTACATCAACTACACCAACTACACTAACTACACTAACTACAGCAACTACACCAACTACAGCTACTACACCAACTACAGCTACTACACCAACTACAGCAACTACAGCAACTACACCAACTACAGCTACTACACAAATTACAGCAACTACACTAACTACACCAACTACACTAACTACAGCAACTACACCAACTACAGCTACTACACCAACTACAGCTACTACATCAACTACAGCTACTACACCAACTACAGCAACTACAGCAACTACATCAAGTACACCAACTACACTAACTACACTAACTACAGCAACTACACCAACTACAGCTACTACACCAACTACAGCTACTACACCAACTACAGCAACTACAGCAACTACACCAACTACAGCTACTACACAAACTACAGCAACTACACTAACTACACCAACTACACTAACTACAGCAACTACACCAACTACAGCTACTACACCACCTACAGCTACTACACCAACTACAGCTACTACACTAACTACACCAACTACACCAACGACACTAACTACACCAACTACAGCTACTACACCAACTACAGCAACTACAGCAACTACATCAAGTACACCAACTAAACTAACTACACCAACTATAGCAACTACACCAATTACTGCAACTACACTAACTACACCAACTACACTAACTACAGCAACTACACCAACTACAGCTACTACACCACCTACAGCTACTACACTAACTACACCAACTACAGCAACTACAGCAACTACATCAACTACAGCAACTACATCAACTACACCAACTACACCAACTACACTAACTACACCAACTACACCAACTACGCTAACTACAGCAACTACAGCAATTACATTAACATTCTCACAGTGGGCAAAGTGGTCACTAAATGTCTCTATATTCGTGACGGTTATCATGAACCCATTACCGTTTAAACAGGGTTAACACAAAATATCGAATTGCGAAACTGACGTTCGCTAATGTTTCAATGTATCTGCCAAATGCCGTCCATTACTTCAACAGGAAATATTTTGAATAGTTGGCTAACACGGTATAATTGGTGAAATAAATCATAGAGTATTGCCACCCATCTGAAACAATCTTCGCAGAACTATAGCGGGATACCATTTAATTTTCTTCACCTTGAAAGATGACTCTTGGAGTTTACTCGAGGTTGAAGTTTTGAGCACTCTTGAGAGTAAAAAGGTTAAGACACCCGAATTATTAATATTATCAAAAATCATTTGACCGATCGAGCCAACCCAGCAAACCCACGTGAATAATTGGGAAAGATCAGCCAGTGAAAGAGGCGGGTCCGAAAAACCGCCAAAACTTCCAAAGTGAATGAATCACTTAATTCTAGCACATTTATGTTTTTATGTCATCTGTAGCACGGCAACCTAGAAAATTCTTTTTTTATATAACTGACGGTTTATTATGTAGACCTAATATGTTTACTAACAGTGGATTCACCGTCGATTAACCGTCGATTATCAAGTGGCAATTTAACCAGTTTTATTGTACAATGTATATTACCTGTTTAATTCTTTGTCTGTCTGAGAAGCGTTGTCCAGGGACAGTATAGGGACAATACTTTCATCTGTTTGAACAATACTGTAGAATAAACAAAAAAGTCAAGGCGTGATAATGAAGATACTCAGAGATGAGTGTAAGCGTAATGTAGGAGATATCCAGAGATGAGAGAAGGAGTGATAAAGTAAAGTAAAGTAAAGAAAACTTTATTTACACAGGGTAGCCCATTCAGCTCCAAGGCTGGTCTCCATAGGGGCCCTGTATCTTAAAAAATTGGTTTAAATTAAGAATTACCATAAACTATTACATTTAAAGAGCCTAATGAAAATATAATAAAAGGTTTTAAGAACTACATTAACAAGCCGAAAAATACAATGCAAAATCACATTTAAAGCCTAACATATAATAAAATATCAAAGTTGTGATAAAAAGAAATGTCTTGCTCGGCGGCAGAACGTCTGAATGTTTGCACTCTTACAATGTTTAAAGCGAATTTGTTAAAAACTTTTGCGCCAGTAAAAAGAAAGGTCCTCTTCCCAAAATTCTGTTTAACGTTTGGTAGGGATAGCCTCATACTTTGCCTTGTGGAACAATTGTGAATGTTTGAAAATCTAGTAAAATGTAATGAAAAATAACTAGGAACTAATGAATGAAGACAGAGAAAAACGAGTTTAGCCATGTGATAAGAGCGTCTGCTAGAAAGAGTCGGCCTGCGCAGCTGCTCTATTGCTTCAGATGAGCGAGAGCAACGTGTGATAATCCGTGCAGATCTATTCTGTAGGCGCTGTAGTCGATCTATATCTTGCTGTAGAAGGTTACTCCAGGCAATGTCACAGTAATCAAATAATGGAAGAATTAAAGCGTTGTGAACAAGTGTTGCTGCCTCTTTTTTGACGAAACTTCTAACACGGCCCAGGATACTATCTCTTAACGCCACCTTTTTCCACAAACAGTCCGCGTAAGCCTTCAAAATCATAAAGTTGTCGAACACCACGCCTAGGTATTTAAAAGTAGTTTCGCAAGATATGGACGGAGAAGATTAAGATTTAAACTGCAATCGTGCTCTTTATGCCTTTGAGATGTAAATAGTACAAACGTAGTTTCTGAAACACTGAGAACAAGATTATTGTCTTCTAGCCATTCACTGGCAGATAAACACTTAAGATCTTGGTTAATGTAAAAAATTAAATTGTGTACAGTTGGACCAGCAAGATATAAAACTGTGTCGTCAGCGTACTGCTACATATTTAAGTCATTTTAAACGTAGACAATGAATAAAAGGGGTCCAAGGATGGACCCCTGCGGCACTCCAAACGTTACTGCAAGCTCTTCAGATGACTGAGAATCAATGTGCACGACCTGGTTTCTTCCCGAGAAGTAGTTGTTAAACCATGGAAGGCTTTCATCGCATACACCATAATACTCTAATTTGCTAAGCAAAATGTCATGGTCAACTGTGTCGAAAGCCTTTGCCAGGTCAAAAGCACAGAACCAGTGATTAAGCCCTTATCCATATTCATGAGAATCTCTTCGGTGAAATAGGTTACGGCCGTCTCAATTGGGTGCACTCTTCTAAAACCGGATTGTAATTTACAGAGCAAGTTATGCGTGATAAGGAAGAGACTCAGAGATGAGTGTAAGCGTAACGTAACAGATATCCAGAGATGAGTGAGGGCGTGATAAGGAAGATACTCACAAGTAAAAGTAGACGAGAGGTTCGACGCAGTGGTGGAGGTGGTGGAGTTGACGTCACAATAGCTCAGGGAATTAAAATAATGAGATTATCAGCTAAAAATAGAAAGGTATTCTGCATCAGAATCTAGGGAGTTGACATCATCAAAAAAACTATGAGATCATCATCTAAAGTAATCATTTAATATGGTAACTGGTGAGATGACATCATCAGCTTAAAGTAGAAAGGGTTTTTTGACATGATCAGCTATTTTCTATAGTCTATGATATCATTGTTTATTTTTATCTTGTTAAGACCATGTAAATGGAGATATCATTATCATTATTATTATTATTTTAATCCAAAACGAAAATGGGTATTATTCTTTCTTTCATTAGAATACCGCTTAATCATTATCGTATGATAGCGAAGACAACAGTTCCCCTCTCAAAAGAAATAATGTCTCTCAAGAAAACATTTTGCGACCTCCCAGCGTCAACAATTTCCAACCTGAAAGAACTCCATTCTGAGGTATTTCTAAAAGTTAATTTGGGGAGACTCTTGGTGTTCTTGAAATTTGCAGAGGATCTGGAGCTGACGGAGGAGGAATGAGGACAATTATATGCTGTTATTCATCCCACTTTATATCAGATCTGAGAGCAGTTATATAAGACGACGACGTAGGTAGTAACACCATTAAGACTCGAGCATTTCGAAGTGATTAGAGCGATGGGTTATTGTCCACCATCTTCCACTTTTGGATTTGAACGAATTTTCAACCGCATTTGCTGTGTGCTAGCTTGCTGTGGTGGTAAAGTAATTGTACAAAACTCAGAGTTTTGTGATGGAGAAAAAAACTAGCCAGCGTTTACCTCGACCCAAGTCACCCTGCACGTTTCAGTGGTGTAGATGCTGTGTATAGAACGATTAAAGAACAGGGAGAAACTGACATTTAACGAAAGGACGATCAACATTCGCTGAATCAACAGGATGTTTATACTCTCCACAAACCTGCCCGAAGGCATTACAAGAGAAGTCGTGTTGTCGTTCACGCGAAAAAATGAATGTTTACTAATAACCATTGAGACACGTTTCTTGGGAGATATAAACTGAACTTTATTGCCTTTTACTGTAAACCAATTACAAAAAAGAGGAAAATAAACCATTATTTCAAATGATCAAAATTTAGTCCTCTTCTTGACTCCTTGTTTCATTAGAACAAGAAATGGTTTTAGACGTCTTCAGGTTGCGGTATTTGATCAAATCACAATCGTGACAGTGGGTGAGGCCCTCTTTTATATATTTCCTCTTTAGAGGGGTCTGGTAATTGCATATAGGAGAAATACTGCAGTTATCGTACCAAAAGCATTCTGGGCATCTCATGATCAATGTATTGTACGAATTAAAATTTTCACAATAACAGCAGGGATTTTCATATTTATACTGAGTTTTCAGAATCACTACTTTCTGTTTCCTCGCTTTCGTTTTCAATTATGTCTTTGACACCCTCTTCCTCTTTACTGCCCTCTTCTTCACTACTATTTTCAGAAGCTGTTTCATCCTCTTCTCCCTCGTCGTCAGATAAAGCTTCCTCAGTATCACTCTCTTTATCGCCGTAACTCTTTTCCTTTTCTATCAAGTCGAATAAAAGCTTTTTGTTCCTGATTAAGCGCTTATCGATTCCTAACTCCGCCTGTCCATCAAGGAACGTATCAAGTGCACAAGGTTTGGTCACTTGTTCATTGTAAGGAAGGAATACATGTACATATTCAACTAGCTGGGCGATGTTTGTGACCAGTATTATGCGATTATTTCGAAGCAGCTTTCCGCGGGAAGTCCAAAACAGAATATCTCTGGATGTGGCCATACTATGCAACAAATCAGAAGCTCGCTTCTTAGACACCGCTTCGGAAAGATTGTTTAAAACAAATTTCATTCTTGGCTCTTCACTTTCACTCAGTTCACTTTCAGAACTTCTGCTTTCCTCATTTTCGCTCTCAAGCCCCTTTCGAACAAGTCTATGTTTCTCTTCATTTTGATCACGACAGGTGGAAGTTTGAAATGATTACAAGTAATGATGAGCTGTCTATTTTAAAGCATCATTAACCCTAAGGTTGTAATAACAGGGACCAATAAGTCTTGAACAACGCCATCACCCTCTTGCACCAGGATGCGCTTCTTTGTTTTATAAGGAACATCTGGTGAAGCGAGATAAGTTAGTCTTTCGTTACACGTAGGCAATTTTCTCCTATTTTCTTCGGGAATAGGAATAAACTTGCTGAGTACATTATGTAGAACTTGAACCAATGAGTGTATTTGTTGTGGAGTGGCAGTCCTTACGAGAAGGTGAGAAGGACAGTCAGCCAACAGTTTAAGAAAGCCAAAGTTGTCCTTCACAACGCAAGACATACCTGCATAATGGGATTATTTCAAAATTTTATCTTCTATTATAGAAGTGTAATGGTGGTGGAGGTTGTGAAACAAACGAAATTTGGAGATGTTGGTGATTCTGAGAGAACAATAGAAATGCGAGAGGGTGGTAGTGCTAGTGAAACAACAGAAATGAGGTGGTTTTACACAGAAATGTCTACACTTTCGATTTCAACATCCTTTCACCTCTATCATCGCTGGAATGACCGGATCAGGGAAGACATTCTGCGTTCAGTCTCTATTACAACAATCTTCACAAGCCATTCACAGATTGTTTGGTGTTATTCACAATGGCAGTCTGCTTATCTGGAA